AGTCTTAAACATTTTTTTTTCCTCACTGAATATTTTGGATCTTCTCTCTCTCTCTCTCTCTCTCTCTCTCTTCCCGTTTCTTTACCTATTTTTTCAGTTTGATTGGTGCATTGGTGTTGATTCTTGGTTTCTATGTGGTGATGTGGGGAAAAGCGAAAGAAAGAGATATGAATCTGGAAGTTGAATCGCCTAGCTATCGGGCTCCCTTGTTGCAAGATTATAATATCCGAGAAGCATAGACTTATTTTGTGAAGTAATTGAAGCAAGTAGAAAAACGGTTTCATTATTTTTATTGGCTACACTGTTAAAAAAAAATGATGAACTGAAGATGGTGAATCTAAAAAAGTATGGCATATGAAGTGCTCATGTTCAAATTTGTGCAGTATATGTAAAAGTGAAATTTGTAATGTTAATTACTCTCGAGTATGATTCGTGTTATTATAACATCCATTTTCAAATTATTTTGCGAAAAAAAAAATGCAGATTGAAATGCAAATTGTTCTTGATCCGGGTTAAACTGGCACCAACCGACCTTCGTCTTTCAGCTCTGGTGACCTGCAATACGCCGGGGAGAGGTGATGAGAATGAAGGTAGAAGGATGTAAAAGGAAGGCTCGGGCGGCAGTTGAAGCATGCGGAGGTGAGGCATAAACGAACATCGTGCGATAGGGCGACAAGCGAGCAAGCACTAGCGAGAAGCGAAGGGTGCGAGCGTGCGCGGTGCACGCACGATGCGTAGCCCGAGGATGTTGAGCGACATGGGCGGGCAAGCGTCGCTGCGCGGTGACGTGTGTTGTGCGGGAAGGCATGATGATCCTCTAGAAGATCAAATGGTCGATTCCTTCTAGATATTCCAAGATTGTTTCCCTTATTATTATCAGAGTTGATTAAGTTGGATATCCTCAGATAAGCATTTGGAGATATTTACTTTCCATAAGTTTAAGAGTTGATTAGTCTATAAGAAAATCGATCTTTAGATCAAACTCTCTCTTGTTTTGAACTAGGTCTTAGTTCGGGTTTTAACACGAACTATCATGTGAGGGGAAGCATTTAGCGCACCTTTCATGCAAAAACACTCAATCGGGATACACGATCTTCATAATTGGTGCTTTCATTGAGTGTACTGATCGTGTATCTTCATTTTTCTAGAATTTAGTTCGCATATAAATAAAAAAACAAAAAATCTTTTGGGCATGTTATCTTCATCCTCATGACGATAAATCGTGAAAGGCTCGACCTATGGAAGACAACATGAGATCCGTGGGTGAGAGTTTGAAGGCCGTGACCGACGATCTTCATTCCATGAACCAAACTGTGACCCGACTCGAGCAATTGATGCTTGACGAGCGGCGACGAGCACGGCGTCCACGGAGAAGTAGCAAACCCGAGACATCATCGAAGGATTCGACCGGCTCGGAGATGAATGGCAGCGATGTGGAGGGCGGGTTCTACAATGGATCTCAGGGGACCTAATCGCCATAAAGAAAGGAGGTTCGAAAAGCCCAAGCTAAATTTTTCCACGTTCAATGGGACGGACCCGGGCGCGTAGTTGAGTCGAGCTGACCAATACTTTGTCATCAACGAATCCCTAAGGCTGGACGGGTGAGGTTTGCCGCATATTAACTCGACGTGGAGGCCAATGGTTGGTGGAAATGGATTTCACGTATTTATAAGAAAAGAGACGTGATGGAGAGATTTCGGAAAGGAGTTAATCACGAGATTTGGATCGTCGGATTACCACGACTACGACAATGCCTTATTACATATCAAGAAAATGGGCAGCCTTCAATACTACCAAAAGGACCTCTAGCGTATAGCGAGTCGCATGCGCGACTACCTAGAGAGTGCATTCGTCGGTGCATTTATCGGGGGTTTAAAACCCGATCTCGCTGGTGAGGTACGTCTGGAGAGGTCTGGGACGATACGAGCAGCCGTGAAGGCCGCACGCATGAAGGATGACCACCTGGTTAAGGTGCGAAGGGCCCGGTGCAGAGACGCACGCATCACCGACCTGCGCCGCATAGTGCCAATCGCGCCCATCGTCAATCGGGGCGTGAGCGGGGTTTCTTAATTGGCACGTGAGCGGGGTTTCTTTAAGAAATCCCAGACCTACACCACCTGAAGTTAGGAGGCTCTCATATGAAGAGATGAAGCGATGAAAAGGGTCTATGTTTCAATTGCGACGAATTCACGCCAAACCATCGGCACAAGCAAGCGTTCATGATCGAATTCGTCGATTCCGATGAAGAGGAGCCCTTTGAAGCTGAGGTACACGATGATGATATAGAGACTTCGGTTCATGCCATGGCCGGGACGAAAGGGCTGAAAATCCTGCGGTTGCCCGCGTGGGTTCAAGACTGGCGCGTTGTGGTGCTAAAGGATAACAGGTTGTCTCATAATTTTGTTAACATCTCGTTGTCACATAAGCTGAAGCTACCTGTTACTTAGGTGGTGCCTTTTGATGTGCGAGTGACTAATGGAGAGCGTTTGGGGTGTTCAGAATATTTCCGAGGTGTACCAATCAAACTGTAGGGCGTGACCGTGAAAGTCGATCTTTTTGACTTACCTTTGGTTGGACCAGATGTGGTTCCTAGAGTCGAATGGATGGAAGATCTTGGTCCGGTTACCATAGATTATAAGGTGGGAACCATGGAATTTAACTTGAAGATCGCCGGGTTGTTTTGAAGACGAACTCCGACAACAGTGTCAAGGAAACCAGGTTGAGAAACATTGAGCGATTGTGGAGAGGAGGCAGGTAAGTGTATGCGGTTATGATAGAGGGTGGAATGGAGGATTCTGGAGGGTCATCACTGCATCAAAGTGAGGGCCATCACTGCAACAAAACTACAACTAAGAACTGGTCCTGCTGGAACTTAAATGAAATCTTAAGATAAGAACGACCTATTTATAATATGATAATTTAGCTCACAGTTCAAAAAAATGAGCTGTTAGTTTATCATATTAATATCGATTATACTTGATTAGCTAAATAATGTTTGTTATTTATTTTATCATTTTTTATCTTGTATAAAAGAACATTAAACATGTATGTTTAAAATATTAAAAGCATATAAAATATTATATAACATGTGTAACACATGTCTAAAAACACTTAAGTTTAACACACACACACCCACACACACATACAATCTAAAAATATAGTAGTAATTATATTCGTGAATAATAAGTATTATTGCCTACAAAATATTATGTATTACAACCCAACAAACATTAGACATTAAATCATTATAATTTTATTAGACATGAAATTTTTTAAGTCGAACAATTTTTAATTGGACCATTGCCCTATTATATGTATGAAAATATTTTATATAGCATTCATATATATATATATAAAAATAGATTTTGCCTAACAGATTTATATTTTATCTATATAAAAAATAGAAAATCGATTTACTATACAAAATTTCAAAAATTTTGTTTTAAAAACAATAGTAAAAAAGAACATAAAAAGGAAATTTGTATATATCTCACATAAAAAGAGAATTTATATTTATCACATAAAAAGGTATATATATCTCATATCAAATCGTTCATATTCAAAATATGCTACAATGAATAAACAAATTTATATATATAAAATTATATTTTGTGTATATAAATGTCAATCTAAATTGTTGATTCTAATAAGAATGATAAAATCTAAAAGAATACTCGATAAATGAGGTTCAAAATTTGGCGCTATATAAATTTAAATATTACTGTCGACATCCGAGTTCGCCTCCCGAGGGAACCGGGCCGAAGGCCGAACCGGGGATCCAGTCCGGTGTGTAGATGCCGAGCTGAACCCCGAGTTGAGTTAACCGCCACGCCCTCCTGGGTCTATTCTCGAGATTGGAATTTGTGTTGTTCAAGCACCGACGCCGACCTGACATGGGCGACGGGATGAAATAAAACTCACGAGAGTCGGAGGAAGAGCCCGAGCTCAAGAGCCGACCTGAGGCTTCAGAGCGGTTGTCCTGGAGGTAGGCGCCGAGTCCGATAATAGTATAATAAGGCCACTTGGGGAGTAATCATTGGTGATTAGACGGAGCGTCGTAGCATGCAGGGCCTACACCAACTAGACAAGACATAAAGCTGGGTAGCATTAAATGATCCCCATGTATGCATTAAATGCGTGACAGACAATGATGAGAGAAACCTCAAACCGCATTTAATGCCTGTCAGAGAGACGCCGAACTGCTCTGCCAGAGTACTGTACGACAAGACTGGTGAACAGTACCTGAACAGTGCCACATTTAAGGCCACTATAAATAGTAGCTCACCTCATTTATTTCTGGGCTGTTGAATCCTCAATTAGCAAGCTCTCTCTCTACTTTCTCTCTCTAAATTTGTACTAAACCTTTGTAAGAATTCGTAAGGATATCACAAGTACCGACTATGTACGAGAGGCCGACCCAGTGATCTAATAATAAAATCACAATTAAACCGCACCTCTTTGTCTTTTCCTTACTTCACCTCAGTTATTTACTTTTTTAACCGTTGACCGGAAACGCCCGTCAACAGTCTGGCGCTAGAGGAAGAGCACCATAAGTTACTTGGTGTCAATTGTTCGAACTTGTGGAACACCACACTGCATTCATCCTTTTCCCCACCTTTCGCTTCCAAAAACCACTCGGAATGGATTTTATCAGGTCACAACGAGTCCACCCAACAGTCCTGCGCCCAGTCTCGCCGGCGCAACGATAGAGAAACCTCCCGCCGCGCTCAACAGGGGCCTCTAGCCCCTGTCCCGCCAGTCCCGACCTTCGCTGTGGCCATGCAGCACCCCGATGTCCTTAAAGCTCTCGAAGGGGTCTTCGCGAAGGCGCTCGTGAGCCAGGCGGCCGGGGGAAACACCACAGTGCCCACGGAAAACCCAGGCAACACTCTGCTCCATACCCCCGAAAAGGGGGCCGGGGGGCAGAAGAAGAACCCGACGAAATCCAAAACCACGGCTCAGTCACCCAACCTCGAGGCCCGGAACCGCCGTGATAAAAGCACCAAGCCGGCGCCCACCGAGCAGACGGGCGAGAGCCATCCGGAGAAGAGCCTTCAAATTGTTCGCCGTTCCGTTTACCACCGCCTGGGAGACAAGAGCCAGGAGAACCATGACCTCAGGGAGGTCATCGAACGGGGAAAGGCTGTGGGACGCGACACTGACGAAGTTGCGGCCCTCAAACGCAGGATTGCCGAGCTAGACCCCTCTGGGAGTGAACTGTCACTTCTTCCCAACCCAC